ACACACACCTAATACATTGTAATATATCTGCAAGCTTCATTACCTGAAGATACAAGACTACAATCATGTAACAAATAAAAATATGTGTTCTCATAGACTAGCACATTTTCCAATGTCTAGTATAAACGAAAACACCGGTATTCCGTCACAGTTTACGGCTTGTATAATTCAGGTGAAATAAGGTAAACATAGTTCCCCATAGTGGTACGCTTGCCCCCTACTGTTACAATACACCCCCTAAGTGTAGCATAGTTAGGTATGGCATTTTATAGTCACGATATGGCTGAAATAATGCCGATGTGACTTTAAATATTAAGTAACTCTCACACAAGTGTAGCACCATGATCTCTTTGTGACGGACCCATCACAAGCAGTAGGGCGGAGTAGGTACCAATGAGAACGGGACATCTTAAAAACATCGTCTACACTATACACGTCCAGAGAACAGTTCCCAAGGATTGTTTCTTAGAAAGGCGGTGGGGATTGATTCTGGTATGTGGTCCAAATTTCCTTTTCTTTCAATGACTTTCTTCCGATCAATTTCCCTTTATTACTTCCAAATATGAGATTGTCAGCAATGCTTTCACCAGAGCATTTCCTTCACTAGCATCGCGACCAATGGAGTAGCCAGTACTCTTCAATAGTGAGCGATCATAGGTCTGTATTTACTTTACGCTGAGATCAATCCCTTCTCGCGGGCCGTGACATCCATGTTACGCACAACTTCATGTTTCGTACTGGTAATTGCCGAGATTACAAGTAATCCCTACCCTCATACAAACTAAAAACCGTTACATTCACGTAAGTGACAAAGGGTAATATTATTTTCTGATATTTGACTCAAATTGGGTTTCGGCCTGATTAAAGCTTCATGCGTTCTCAAATGAATTGGATTCCTGACATTTGGTCTGGGGATACTTTAAATTTTTTTTTGCAACATGCCCCCAATTACGTGGGTGCAGCTGAGGTAAAAGCCATTGTTGCGTTATATTTTTTTCTAGATTCCTACTGCTATTTGGCCGGGACAAAAAGTCATTGTTCATCTGGCTTCAACAGACCATTTTTACAAGGTATTGTTAACGTCCAAGAGTAAGGCCTCCTGGAGTGACGACGGATTTTATTCGGTATTGATTGCGTTTTATGTTCGAAAACGCGCTGAAGTAAGTGGCCATGCAATTTTAAAAAAATGAAAACTATTGATAATCTATATGTATCCAATATTCGCTTAAAAGAATGTAGTCCCACTTCATGTGGGTATATGGGATTGCTAAAAAATGAATCCATTTACCGGAACGAAACTGTGGAACGAGCTGTAGTAAATTGTTCAGGATATATTTTCCAATTACAGATTCAGCGCTGTTACATTTTCCTTTAGGTTCTTTTCAATTTAGTTTTTGAACCATACAATGAGAAAACATGAAAAGTGTTTTACCTCGTTTCTATAAGTACTGACTATATATGTAGCTAGGATACGAGGAGAGACGGGTAGCCCAGTTGTGAAAGCATCGAACGCCCAGGTTCTATTCTATTCTATTCCTTACATGGCAACATACTCCATTGTACAATTTTCACCACTGTAAATTTGTAACTTCGTGCCTAACAAGCGCTAAAGATACAACCTCACGCTAGGAATGTATTAATGCCATTGTCTTAATATGGGACCCTTGTTAATGAGAATCTTGTTATTCTGGATAATTGCATTTGGATTGGTATGTTCAATCTTCATCAATTTTGTAATGTGATCTGTTTTAGTTCGAACGACCCCAGACGAAAAGCCATTGTTGCTTAAACAAATATTTATTTTTGACCGCTTCAGTTCAGTCTGTCACGACTAATTGTAGTCTATGGTTGTAACCCCGACAAGATATCTTTCTTTAGCACTTTGTACCATACCACGTTGAAAATATCACAACGTATGTTTTTTTACCCAGAATCTTACTACATAATATCCTGAATCAAAAGCGTTTTTGAATCGACCAGTAAATGGTCTGTCATTATGCATTTACCCTTGAGAAAAGTTACGTGTTTCATCTATTTATGTCTCGGGCGAGACACATCAGGGACCAAAGTACTTCTTAGTACAATCCACAGAGTACTGCCCAGTTCTGCATTTAACCTTTGTAATATGTCATACCAAATGGATGCAAGAGCCATTGAGTACAGCCTAAGAGGCGTCAGTATGAGGTCGACAGTTTGATATGTTATTCTCTGGTTGTGGGGATAAAACAATATGGTAACACTGATACCAGGCTCCGGCTTTGATGTGTAATTGAAGCCTCTGCTTGATAAAGGCGTAATGCGAAACAGCGCATCTCCCAGGACCAAATGTGGAGTCAGATGTATTTGTGAGAAAGGAAAATGTGTGTGTAGCCGCACGGAAGTACTTTATTCAAAGCGCTGGCGGTACATAATATGGGGACTTCTTTCCAAGAGGTTTCTGATTTGTTAAACCATTATCAGGACGTCACGCTGTTGTTGTTCAAGTTGATTCTGAACCAGGACTTTAATGGCCATTCTAAAGGTCCATTTTAAACAAGTAAAACTTTAGGTCATTTTGCAAATTTATTGAGAAAACATATCAACAATAACGAGGTATAGTTCGTCTCGATGATTCTACCTCTGGAATCAACATTGTACAGTTATTTCTCCAGTATGTGTTTACTTTCAATGTAACAAGTATAACTTGCCTTGGATTTGGAAAAAAAGAATCTGTTCCCGAAAATTCAGGAAAAATAATTTGTCCTCAGAATTAGTAAAAAGTATCGTTCTATGTGTATACTGGATGTCCTGAAAATAATGTGTTGTGGGTAAAAGATGTGTCTGACTCTTTCAAAGGAAAAACCCATCGCATGTCTCAAAGCGCTGCCTGGAAATATAATTCTGACAAACAACAGTATCACTGAATCGCAATACATTTTGTGATAAAAGAAACAAAACTGTTATCATTCAATCAGTTCTTAATTGAAAATCTTTTTTGAAATGACATGTTTGTAGTCTCTGTAATAGACACTGACAGGCTCATCAGTCTCTCTCCTCCAGTGCGTTAAGAAGCTATCCATAGTCATTTGATGACGACAGCGGTAGATTGATACATCGCTGGAGAGAGCCCAGATGCTCGTGATGTAACGTCAACCAGTTGAGACTGTGTGCTCCAAGTGTTCTATCATACACACGCTGTGTCATCTTAGGTGCATTCAAGAAGACAATGATGCACCGGGTTGTACACACTCATTACTCATGTACAAATGTTAAGCTTGTATTGATGCCTTGGTGACTGTCATATTTGCACTGCTGCCTCGGTGGCTCTATGGTTTTTATTGCTGCTTTGGTGGATTTGTTGTTTGTGCTGGTGCCTTGGAGGCTGTGTTTGTATTCTTACCTTGTTGGGTGATATAGTTGCATTGCTGCCTTGTTGGCTGATATATTTGCATTGCTGCCTTGTTGACTGATATATTTACATTGCTGTCTTGGTGGGTGTCTTGTTTGTGTTGGTACCTTTGTGACTGTGTTGTTTTCATTGCTTCCTTGTTGCCTGATATATTTACATTGCTGTCTTGTTGGCTGATATATTTACATTGCTGTCTTGTTGACTGATGTATTTGCATTGATGCCTTGTTGACTGATATATTTGCATTGGTGCCTTGGTGGCTGTCTTGTTTGTGTTGGTGCCTTTGTGACTGTGTTGTTTTCATTGCTTCCTTGTTGCCTGATATATTTGCATTGATGCCTTGGTGGGTGTCTTGTTTGTGTTGGTGCCTTGGTGGCTGTGTTGTTTGCGTTGCTGCCTTTTTGACTGACATGTTTGCATTGCTGCCTCGGTGTCTGTCTTGTTTGTGTTGGCGCCTTTGTGACTGTGTTGTTGGCATTGTTGCCTTGGTTGCTGTCTTGTGTGCATACCTGCCTCGTTGACTGATATATTTGCATTGCTGCCTTGGTGACTGTGTTGTTGCCATTGTTGAGTTGGTGGCTGTGTTGTTGCCTTGGTGGCTGTCTTATTTGTGTTGGTGCCCTGATGGCTCTGTTGTATGCCTTGGTAACTGATATATTGGCATTTCTGCTTTGTTTCGATCAACTCGTTCATCAGGATGCTCTCTATTTGGATTAATACTGAGATATACATACACATGATTGATGGATGTAGATATATTGGCAGAAATCTGGTAGATAAGAAATGCAAACAACATTTTGAGGTGATATGTCCCGACTACTTGGAACGGCGGTAGTTTAAATCAACGCAGTGGATCCATTCAGGCATTCTAAAGCTTACTAATTATTTGTATCAGCTGCATTGATCAAGATACAACCATGTTGCATCTTATGCAATAAAACTGAACGTCAAGTGTTGAAGATTTAAACTATATATATAAGACCTCGCGATCGTGTGATGACCTCTGGGTAATGATGCAAATCTAAAATTCGGAGATATCTAAATCAGTCTTTTAAATCCATTTGGATCTCGTGCTATTTTAGACCAGCTTCGATTCATTTTTATTGAAATAGTGCTCCGAGGGATGCTGATTAAATAAAATGGTTAAATCTGAGTCACTACTTTCAGGAAACTTTATTGATTTCTTTAATACTGTGTAATTTACACTCACGGTCGAGACAATATCGTATATGCTATAACAGCACTAGAACCAGTATCATATCAGTCAGAATGAGGTGTGGCTGGATACTGTTTTGTTAACAACTGTTAACAGACGTCAAACATCTTCAACTGAACTTGAATCCTGGGGAGGGATTGACACGACAGATTAAAGGGAGATTAGTGCTGTCTCGTTTGATCAATGTATACGACAACTATAAACCCATCACCACATCTCCCCTTCTCCCGAATCTCCAAAACAACACCGATTATATTTAGATTGCAGTCCCATCAACGTCGTCAATCGGGTCCTTTAGGACTCGTCATCTCTGATCCTGTTTCCAGAGCCTCTGACCAGATCAACGTGACCAATAATATGTTCTCCACGGACCAATACTCTTTGATTTCATTTCAGATGGAAGATTCTGACTGGACCATCACGTTACAGGGTCTATTGGTGACGTCGGGAGGACAAGACAATATTAGATCATGGACTGAAGTGATGTAGATTTGGCCACATCATATCCTCCATAAGATGCGGATGGTGTAGAATATACGTATTTCTTCGGCATGATTCGTGCCTTTAGACGAGATGAAGCCTTTTGTAGCGATGCATGATGATGGAAAAAGGAGGTAGCTGTCAGTAGAGAACGCCACTATGGTGCTCTTTGGGATGCTGGTGGTCGTTGTAGGTGCTGTGCAGTCTTCTGCAATGAAAGGTAAGAGACATGCTGAGCCCCGTTTCACAAAGCGGTTGTAACGCTACGGCTGCCATAAGACTATGTAAAACTATGGGAGTTATGACAGTCTTAGTGTTACGATCACTTTGTGAAACGGGGCCATGGAACTTGTTTGAGAAATAATATCTGTTCTACCACTACTTTAAAATGAGATGTTTTTCTCGGATTTGAGGACCGAAATATGTTTTTTGTTTCTACATGGCATATTTTTGTCATGACATCCACCATGTCCAGGCAATGCAGTTATTTTCGGGAATAAATTAGTTTCTTCAGTAATCGTTCGAAGTCGTCCATTGGACACGAATAGTTACCAACGTATTTTCAGCGGGTCGACATTGAACCGTTACCTTAGGATGCCCTGTTCTTACAACGGTTTCCATATATTTAGACGACTCAGTGTTTAAGGAAGAGAATTTATGGATGTCAGCTTCTTTATTATAAGGAACACAACGTTTCCGAGTATATGCTTACTCCGCCATCAGGTGAATGAATGATATGAGGCAGGGAGCATATATATGTATTTGTAAGAACAACAAAAGTAACAACATAACAAAAGGTGGAAACTTAACAAGGGAAGCCAAAAGATAATTGGCGCTGATAGGCGATTAGCAATAGACAATGGCCAACACTTTACAGTCATATCATGCAATCACTTGATGAAGGAGTAAGCATATACTCCGAAACGTTGTGCTCCTCATAATAAAGAAGTTGACATCCATAAATTCTCTTCCTTATGTGTATCACTTCTAAATGCCTTTCAAAGGCTCAATGTTTGATAAGGATACTCCATTTATTGATGATTACACCAAACAAAATGTGAGGTGCCATTTGTAAACTGCTGCACCTCCGATACCCGTGGACTGAAAGCTGTCTGTCCACAAATAATGCCATGAGAGGTTTCGACCCTATTTTCAATATGGCCGCCATGACCATAAGTCAGCCATCTTGGTATCCAGGTTGTACATCCAGCTGATCAGCAAAATCGAAATTAAGTAATAATAAGTCATATGGTCCGTATTAACGTTTGCTTTTAAAAAGTTTTTGAAAGCTTTACTTAGGCCTTGGATGTTGTAACCTTGACCAAACAACTTCTGAGCAAGAGTTGTATGACGCTTTGCTAAACGCTGAGTCCACTGAACGATTCCAACTATATCATGAGTATGTGTGTTTTTATCACAATCAAATAGTGATGATGTTCGCGAAAAGGTGAGCGTACCCTGCCCACCGGTGACACCTGTCACAAACACATGCAAGGGGAAGTCAGTTGTTCACTTGGAGAAACACAGCAACATAGTGTACAAGTCAAACTGAGGAATTACATCAGACATCTTTGTCACTGATGCGTCAAATTTGGAAATGTCCTCCATATGTCTACGATAAAACGTTTAGAATAGAATAGGTAGCCTAGTGGTAAGAGTGTTCACACACGTCGAAAATCCGGGTTCGATTCCCTACATGCAATGTGTAAAGTCCATTTCTGGTATTCTTCACTTTGATACTGCTGCAATATTGCAATGGCACATACTGACGCAAGGGCAAGTAATCTGTTCACCTGAAAACACACTGGAACGGATGGTACAAATCAAAATTATGAATTGGATCGGACACCATTTTGGTCACTGTTGTGTCAAAAATGTCCTTCACATAGCTACCATAAAACTTTTTGAAATCTTTACTGAATGCCGTAACCCTGTCAAACAGCTTTTAAGCAAGAGTTGTATGGCGCTCTTTGAAATAGTCGCAGAAAGGGCATGCTCGATTGTACCTCACAAGTTGGGAAATGTAGACCCCAAAGGCTGGGGCTGCTGGAATATTGCTTGACATAGAGGGAACGTTGACATTAGGAAAGTTGAATCATCCCTCTTGTCATATAAACTAGTCATTAGACCTTTCGTCACTCTTACGCTGTATGCATAGATCTAAATATGAAACAAATGAGGCGGTTTCTACTTCAGATGGGTAAATACATAGATCTAAATATGAAACAATCGAGGCGGTTTCTACTTCATATGGGTAAATACATAGATCAAAATATGAAACAAACGAGGCGGTTTCTACTTCAGATGGGTAAATAAGTGGGAGGGAATTTGCTATTTGACCATTACTGAACGATATCAGATGATCCATACACCAGAAGCTTATGTTAAACTTCTTGGCCATAACACATACCTGATACAACGACGATGCATTAACCTTAATTTACATTTCACTTTAGAAACTCTAAACTGTGAGTTATATCATGGAAAGCTGATCTTTCCTATTTTCTACTTTTGCTCGAAACCACAGTTGAAGTTTCTTCAAATCGTTTCCATCGATGTTATGTGTGGTTTCCACGGCAACGATATTGAAAAACACTATATGAGGTCGTTAATCAGCCATTACTGGAGATAATGTCATGATATGGGGCGTGTAGCTAGTGTGCAGTGGGGCCTAACATGCACGTTCCTTTTTAACCTTCCGAACAACCTCAGGAGATTAATAATACAGCCGAATACATCAATGTTACATTTCCGAATCCTACTCTGGCTATGAATAACCATCATGTCTACATGTGTAAGCTTCTCTCAGCAGCATCCCTAGAAGAGGATTGTCAGTAGATAGGTGCAAAGATTTCAAAGAGCATTATACTAACTTTATTCAAAAGTTGTTTGATGAAAGTTACAGAATTCAAGGCGTCAGTAAAGGTTTCAAAACGTTTCATGGTAGACATGTGGAGGACAATTCCAAATTTGACGAATCAGTGATAAATAGTATGTCCTGTGCAATTCTATATTTTAACTTGAACCATATGTACCTATGTTTTTAAGGTGAAACCTTGACTAGCCTTTACATGTGTTTGTGATATACCACCGGTTGGTGGGATATGCTAACCTCTTCGCGAACACCTGGTATTCGATAGTGATGCATAGACGCATGCCTACGATATAGTCGGAATAACACAATGGACGCTTCAATTTTTTCTTAGATTTTTCTATTATTTTTTATTTGTTGCTTTTATTAACAACACATGTACCACCTCCCTGGGCCCTGCAGCATAATCCAGTAAATGGTCGTTCAACCTCCTTTGATATACCACAAATCTATCGTCCAATGCCTAGTGTATTCTTAGCATTGAACCCACGCTGTGCACCAATCCTTAATTCAATAATGCAATCTGCATTCATAATGCAGGGACGGACTACATGCGTCGTGGTGGCTCATTACCATCCTTATCTTGTCTCGTAAAATGGTTTTTTTTTCTCACACGAGTCTATAGAAGCATGTTCCTACTACCTAAGACCTAAGTCAGCCTCATCACAAACGCACGGTTCTAGAAATGGATAGCGGCAAGGGTGGCCTTCGGGCATTTAGTGATGGTACCAGGTATCCGGGAACAGGTGAGCGTATGCTGGCCCATCGGGGGCACTCGTCACAAACAAATGCAAACGCAAGTCAGTTGTTCACCTCAGACACACGGCTACATATGGCACAAGTCAAAAAAGGGAATTGCACCCGACTGCTGATCAGCAAAATCAAAATAAAGTAATAATAAGTCATATGGTCCGTATTCACCTTTGTTTTTAAACAGTTTTTAAAAGCTTTTCTCAGGCCTTGGATGTTGTAACCTTGACCAAACAACTTCTGAGCAAGAGTTCATGAAGCTTTGCTAAACGCAGAGTCCACTGAACGATTCCAACTATATCATGAGTATGTGTGTATTTATCACAATCAAATAGTGATGATGTTCGCGAAAAGGTGAGCGTACCCTGCCCACCGGTGACACCTTTCACAAACACATGCAAGGGAAAGTCAGTTGTTCACTTGGAGAAACACAGCAACATATGGTACAAGTCAAACTGAGGAATTACATCAGACATCTTTGTCACTGATGCGTCAAATTTGGAAATGTCCTCCACATGTCTACGATAAAACGTTTAGAATAGAATAGGTAGCCTAGTGGTAAGAGTATTCGCTAACGTCGAAAATCCGGGTTCGATACCCTACATGCAATGTGTGAAGTCCATTTCTGGTATTCTCCACTTTGATACTACTGCAATATATCATTGCATATCATGAACATATGATTTTGAATAACAATCAAATAGGGATGATACCAGGTGTTCGCAAAAAGGTCAGCGTACCCCGCCCCCCCCCCCCCCCCCCCGTGGCACCCGTCACAAACACATGCTTAGGTCATAGTCGGAATCGTACGACAAATTCTACTTTAAGTAGAGATTTCTTTTAATTATGGAAAGGGTTTTTGATTTCACTGGTAATCTGGTGTCAATGTGTGACGTGTTTTCTTCGTTCCAGACATCAAACCGCCCTATGACTGTCACCCGTTCTACTACACAATCCCGGAGTGTATTGACCACCCTGACGGATATGGGTGCGAGTGCGGCCCTGGCTTCCACTGGAATACATACATGTGCATGTGTGAGTACTGGCAATGCCATCTCGTTATAACGGACATGGCTAACTCGAATATCGGGTGGGACAGGGTGATTGCGTGTCATTGTACTAAGGCGGCATGGAGCGCTCATGATATCAGCCACACGAGCACTTATTTCATAAAGGGAGAAATCTAGAATTCCTAACCAATTTCCTTGGCAGCAAATTATGCAAAATCGAGACATTGTTCAAAATTGTGACGTTTTAAAGCTCTTATTATCTTACATTAAGAGGTATTTTAAAACTGCATTCAATTGGGCATTGCATTACTGAGCAGCTGAACCTATTCTTCTTAATGGTTCTGTTATTATTGGGGGGCACGGGTGGCCCAGTCGTCTAAGGCGCCGCGATTCGCTGTGCACGTCAGAAACCTATGATTGTGGGTTCGAATCCAGGTTCACCCCGATTATGTTTCTAGGTTTGTCAGCACCATACCCGTGCTCGTGGGTTTCACCGAATTTGTAAACGTCTAAGACCTACATCACTTCGGGCTCTACTCCCACATTAAGCTAACACGCCGTGATATAACTGGAATACTGTTAAAAGCAGCGTTAAACCCAACTCACTCACTCACCCTGTTATTAATGAAATAAAAGTAATCTTTGCTGAGACACACAATTTAAAATAACTATAATAACAGTTATTCTAATTATTCTAAATTAGGAATTTTAACTGACACTTCCGGCCTCATGTCCAAATAAATCACTGCTATAATTTAGTAACCGTCGTGATACAGCTGTTACATTGCTGACTGGGACATAAACAACGTTCAATCAGCTGACATACATCCTCTTGTTAACACAACTTTCCCTTAAAGGGGATACGGTCCTTTGGAAACAATACACTATAAACCACATTTGATGGCAATACATTTCCATTACGATACCCAACCGTCTCTCCTTACGCTAAAATACCATTTGCATTTCGATGGAAATCCATCTACGTGTTATATCTATTCTTGTCCTTATTAAATTGTCACGGTTAGATTTTCTTGCCAAACCTGTGTTTTATTGATAGGGAATGCAATGAATGTGTCCCCTTAACATTCTCATTACAACGTTACCGGGGCCCGTGTACACTGGTAATGCATTGGCAAATGGAATACGACCCTTAAGTGCCAAACATCTCCGGACCCAGCTTAAGTCTTCTTTGGTAAATATCTTTCAGATCTATAGGTCTACAGACAACAAAGGAATCTGACAGTGAAGAACTGCATGTCTTGGGATGCTGTAGCGCTAACAACCTCCTCGCATTGTGCAATGCCCCCCTGTCACGCCTAGTAGCCTTTACTCTTGTTCAAAGGTTTCCATTCTTGCTGTTGCGGAAGCTGGGCCAGACGGCATGCATTAGGATGCTAAAATTACCACAACCCTCTACGTTTTATCAGCTATCTGTGTCGAGTGATGGGTTGAGGTTCTAAGAGGTATCGCCACCTCTTACTAACGATTTCATGTCACCCCTGTTTTTTATCGTCACCATGAGTGCACTTTCATGATTTACTCAAGTATCGTTTCGTTTTTGCAGCCTCTGCAATCGATTCCAGATTTGAATATAAGGCTCAAACCCCAGCCAGATACACCCTGCTACTTGGAAAAGCTTTTCCAAAATTAGACGACTTTACCATTGCTTTTTGGATGAACGTAAGCGACCCACTTCATCCGGGAACTATTCTGTCATACAAACATGGCAAAACGGAGAATCTTCTGCGCATGATGAGCGGTCCGACGTTGCGATTTGAAATCTGGGGTCAGCTGGAAGATACGGAGATAACACTTCAACCACATGAGTGGTACCACATCATGTGGACCTGGACTTCAAAGAGTAGGTATTTTCAGCATATGTTAATTGAATAAGTACTTTTTTGATTGTTATAATATTACATTCACAAAGTGCGTCTGTGTCGAACCCGACTTGAGATGTGAATACCAACAATCTAAGTCGTCACTTCAGCGCAGATCAATTTTGGTACAGTATTACCGGTTGGAAACTTGGACTCTTATACTCAGTGGACTTATGTGATATTTCAATGGAAACTTTTAGAACAAATCCGAGGTAAAAATTAAAAGGTCGTTTTTAGTATTCCATGCAGCTATACTCAATACACAATTACAATTTGAAGCACTGAAAGACACTGCCGAGCAAAATAATATACACTTAAGAATTGGGTTTGATGAAAAGAATTGCAAACGTTAGCAAACTGGTACTAGGCCCAAAGAAGCGGTTTACACACTGCACACCTAAGGTCCAAAACACAACTATAATACACGTATCAAACATGGGTGTATACTTTATTTGCCATATCCAGTGGCGAACAAGCCCGCATTCGCTGCCCGTAGGCATAGCACCCTTATACCGGGCGTTCGAATCTATAAGCATGGGGGTATCTGGCCATTCGCAACATCGCTCTGTACAAGCCCCTCAACACAACACATTCTCAATGACCCTGTGTTCCATGAGGGGCGCACGGGTGGCCCAGTCGTCTAAGGTGCCGCGATTCGCTGTGCAGAGTTGAGTCCCTTGGGCACGCCAGAAACCTATGATTGTGGGTTCGATTCCAGGTTCGCCCCGATTATGTTTCCAGGTTTGTCAGCACTATACCCGTGCTCGTGAGTTTCTCCGAAGTGGTAAACGTCGGAGACCTGCATGACTTCGGGCTTTCCTCTCACATTAATCTGAAACGCCGTGATATAACTGGAATACTGTTAAAAGCGGCGTTAAACCCAACTCACTCACTCACTGTGTTCCATGAAGACTGCTGTGTTTCTTGTTATGTGTTTAGTGTCCCTTTGCATCTCGAGGATTGTTTGAAGGCTGTTTGCAAGACGTAACACCTACCATTTGAAACCAATATCATAGTGGATCGTTGCGTATTCACTTTGATCTTGAACAAACACCACTCCTGACCTAGATGTAAGATCAAACACAGAAAGGTCTGGTAAAAAAAGCTTCGATCTCGGATAGAACTCGGTCATCAGTTTTATATACTTATAACCCTTTTTCATGATTCTATATTTGTAGATAATAATATACGCTTTCACCATAAACAACCGGGCAAAAGAAAGTATACACCAATGTTATATGGTAGCTAATTATAAAACTAGAAATGGTTATTCGGTGGTGACGTATTTGAAACATGTCTCATAGTTGTGTTTTGGACCTTAGGTTTGCGCTAATTATAAAACAAGAAATGGTTATTCGATGGTGACGTATTTAAAGCACGTCTCATAGTTGTGTTTTTGACCCTAGGTTTGCGCTAATTATAAAACAAGAAATGGTTATTCGATGGTGACGTATTTGAAACATGTCTCATAGTTGTGTTTTGGACCTAAGGTTTGCGCTAATTATAAAACAAGAAATGGTTATTCGATGGTGATGTATTTGAAACATGTCTCATAGTTGTGTTTCGGACGCTAGGTTTGCGCTAATTATAAAACAAGAAATGGTTATTCGATGGTGACGTGTTTGAAACATGTCTCATAGTTGTGTTTTGGACCTTAGGTTTGCGCTAATTATAAAACAAGAAATGGTTATTCGATGGTGACGTATTTGAAACATGTCTCATAGTTGTGTTTTGGACCTAAGGTTTGCGCTAATTATAAAACAAGAAATGGTTATTCGATGGTGATGTATTTGAAACATGTCTCATAGTTGTGTTTCGGACGCTAGGTTTGCGCTAATTATAAAACAAGAAATGGTTATTCGGTGGTGACGTGTTTGAAACATGTCTCATAGTTGTGTCCTGGACCTTAGGTTTGCGCTAATTATAAAACAAGAAATGGTTATTCGATGGTGACGTGTTTGAAACATGTCTCATAGTTGTGTTTTGGACCTTAGGTTTGCAGTGTTTCGGCGACTGTTTTCAGCCTGGTGATATTTTGATAACGTTTGTTATTTTGGGGCCAAATCCATTTTTCGAGTGTATACTTTCTTTACTCGGCAGTTTATGTTCATTGAAAAAATGTATCCACACATTACAGATAATTGTTTAAATGTTCGTTGCTGTGTGTAATTCCAGACGGTAGATGGACACTATTTCTCAATGGTGAGAGCCGCCATCGAGGTGTCATGGACAAAGTGCTACAAGCTGTTCCATTGGGCGGCGAATTCGTTCTCGGCCAATCATCACGTCCGAAGGATAAAGTGTTGTTTAACGTGACATACGGACTAGATGGCGATCTAGCGCATTTGAATATTTGGGACTACATCATGAAAGAGCCGGAGCTAAAGCAAATAATCAAATCGTGCAAGTTCATGTACTGTGGGAATGCTGTTCAGTGGGTCGAGTTCAGAAGCGGCACGAGGGGAGCCATGAAGATGCGGTGGCCGTCGGGTGTCCTCAGTAAGTACATGCGTGTAAGGGGAATGAACTTCTAGGCAGTAGTGTGTCTCTGAACTTGTGAACAAGGGTATTCAGGGACCTACCTTTTCGTGACTACACTGAGGCTTGCATTATTCAAAAAATCAATCGACCCTGGAACAACTGAATGATTATCCTTGTTCTGGACTTTGGGATCAAATAAATGTTTTTGTATGCGCTACATATATAAACTTGTTAAATTCAAAACGTCATGAGAATAATCAGTCTCCATATCTGCCGAATTCGACTCTATTGGTCGAAACAGTGATTAACATCATGTCAAGGGATCACTGGAACTTTGTGATGACACCAGGTGTTCGCAAAAAAAAAAATTTAATGTTCAGGCTAATTACTGGTACTCACTAAATTAATTTATCTTTATATAACCGACTTCTTTAATACTATTTGAATGTTGTCAGTTAAGAATTAAAGACATTGGGTGCGCTATGATAAATCGTTTAGTAAAGCACAATAGGAATTTGTTTTGTATGATTTAAAGGTATTGTTTCTTACAAACTGTCATTAGGTACATATTGATACTAAAATCCACCGTCAGTAATCCAAACTGGACTGGAATGTAAGCACTACGTATTGTGTGGATTAGAGCATGGTTATGTCAAATAACCACCGGTAGCTGTGCTCCTATGCTGCATGCAAAGTATTAAATATTATAACATGTTTTTAGGTAAAAGAACCCCATAGAGTTCCTGCGTATATCTCCTGTGAGATCATGCACACGCAGAATAAAATCGATCAGAGCAGACCCTAACAATGGAAGCATGTAGAGCCCAAAGAGTTCTACTATCAACATTGGATACTATAAAGCATGCAATTCCAGCTATAATTATATACCCTGACGGATAACAATCTGTTGACATGGCCTCCTTCAAAACTAAAGTGTAATCCCCTACTTTCTTAGATAAAGCACTTTTGTTTGAAACCTAGATAACTTGAAGCTTCGGAGCCATAACCATATATGTCGAAATATCAGTAGTTCGAGATAAGCAGTGAAATAATGATTTACGACCATGCCACAGTGTCTTTACATTCCTTCGAGCCCATTGTATTTAGCTTTAAAGAAAACGGGATCCATCTAACGAGACCACATATCGAGTTATCCGTACTTCGAGACTACTGGAATGCTCTTATTAAACGAAAGTTCTATTTGGGATTCTGTTTTCGGCCATACAGATCGTATCGATACGTCGAGTTACTAAGTGAGTGAATGAGTATAGTTTTATAGTTTTACCATGCTTAAAGCAATTGTACATGTGGTGAATCGAACTCGGGCCTTTGGCGTCACAAGCGAACGACTTCACCACTGGGCCACCCAACCGCCATTCGAGCAAATGAAGTTCGCCATAACCAGATTTGACTATATATAAAAATAGCGACTGTTGGTGTATCGTAAAAATATAACCCCCAGTATATCAAACGTATTCTTATATCAAAGCTCTCCTTTGTCCTTTCTACTCCGACTTGACGAGATTCGACTTTATGTTGGCTTGCACTTAAGCCCCTCGTGTTCTGTTGCAACGGCCGTGTACGTCATCATCTGATCGACATCCCGACGACGTCGCTCTTCTCCCTCAGTCAGACCAAAGAACCTTTGATATGATCTGTTAGTTTCACATCTGAGTCACGGATCAATCAGTTAAAATCGAACCATTTTATTGATCCTCTGCTGAAATGCAGACAGCAAGATGCAGCCAGACTTTGTACTGAACGTGGAACCAGAGAAATGAATTCCCAATACTGATGTCATGCCCTCAAGGCTTGAGCTTAATGTATCGAGATTTTAGCGTGAAGATACATGTTACATTTATGATTTATGATCAAGTTGAGCATGCTTCTGTCATGATATGTAGAAATTAAGATGGAATGTCACATTCATTCCAGAGTAAAAATATAAGTTTCCTTAAAGATGTCAAAGTAATATATCATCGGATCAGATGATTTTTCTTAGCCCTTGCCGCATGGGTAAATAAACCATTTGAAGGTCAGAGGGTCCGATAAATATGGGTTTATTGTAAACTAGAAACTCTGCTGGCTCCGAAAAGAGTTTTGAGTCTGTCTTAATTTTGCCATGCCGTCTCCCAACCATTGAATTTCTTTTTTAATATTGATACGAATCATGGTTGACCTTTTTTAACGTCATCTTATATAGACAGATTGGTCATCCAGTTAAAAAGAAACATGCTTTTATTCTGGTCCTGTGAGGCATATATCCGCGGTAGTCTCTGCAAGAACCCATGAAATTATGAAACATGGAATTCTGACCGAAATGCATATTTGCTTGAAGATGTGCCCACTCATAACACTGCTGCATCACAGACAACACATTTGTATTATATGTAGCGTTTGCGCTTCGGTAAGGAAGTTTTAATCTTAATTTCTCTGATGATAACATCTACAGTCAACATTTTTATGTGTTCTTTATTTCACAGACCCATCAAAGGGTAAAGTTAATAAAGATGGGTAACGGCATGATCACAAAAGAGGATTTATCGGACTTATTTATCTGATTTCTCAAACTTCAAAAGTGTTTAGGACAAAGGAAGAGTGGAGCTACAGCTCGGTCAACTCGCTTTCTAGCAAAATAACAATGTTTTAAGCTACATCAAATGAAGATAATTATTGGAATAAATAAACCATTCTTTTTTTGCAGCTGGTGAGTGCTTCACAGAGAAGATTGCCGCTGAAACATGTGACAATTTCTGCAGCGACCTCATTGGTAAGCATGTGTGTGGTCTTTGCTCGTTGCATGTCATCGCCACCCTGGGGAATCCCGGGCTGGGACTGAGGGGCCTCAAGTTCCCCTAGTTAGTCATAAGAGCCAAGTTAATGAGAATCGGGTGGTCACATTGTGTAACCTGGCTTCTCGTATGTTGTCGTACACAGCATTGTTCATTTCGCATGTTGCTCGCTTATTTACGTATTGTGCATGATTGATAAGGATTCTAATGCCTCAGCATGAGGGTAACACCAGTTGTATATTCGCCATTTGAAAGACGATCAACAGAGTTACCCGGTCACCAGAAGAGAAAAACATCATGGTCTTTATGTGTGTCAGTTGACATAATCATTTACATCTGTATGTGATAGAAGTACCGATACTCATTATTGACTATAAACACGTGAGTAATACGTTCTGTTACATTATGATATATATTCGTTGAAGTCAGTACATGAACACACTCAACAGACCAGATATTAATTGAAGGTCATTTTATCTGAAGGTGAATTCACCTGACATTCATATGGCGGTAACTGACCATTGCTTGAGCGACGTTTGTCGATGGTTTGATCAGTGTTATACAGTTACCACAAAGCGTGTCAGCATTATGTAGGAGGGAGCCATGTGATGCAAGCCCAAGACGTGTACCGCTTTGGTGAAACCCACGAGCACTGGGACGGTGCTGACAGCCCAAAGATTATAACAGGGGCGCCTCTAATAGGGGCATTTCGGTGCAGCGATCACCAATATTAGTTATGAAAATATGCCTTTTGTGGTCCCAACTACTACTACTACTACTACTACTACTACTACTACTACTACTACTACTACTACTGGGGCGGTCGGGTAGCCTAGTGGTTATAGCGTCACGCCGAAGACCCGGGTTCGATTCCCAATGTAAGCTAAAAGCGGCGTAAAACCACACTCACTCACTCACTCACTCACTCACGACCACATGGTACCCGTCAAGATCCGGGTTAGAAAAGGCCTTCAGCAACCCATGCTTGTCGGAACAGGCGACTAACGGGATTAGGTGGTCAGACTCGCTGACTTGATTGATGCATGTCATCGTATCCTAAATGCGTAGATCGATGCTCAAGATATCATTGACTGGATTGTCTGGTCCAGACTCGATTATTTACAGACCGCCGTCATATAGCTGAAATATTGCTGAGTGCGTCGTTAAACAACAAACAAACAAAGAAACTACTACATGGTATTGGGAACATAGCTTTGAAACCTGTTGGTCCGACCCACTGTTATTGGGATATGTGCATGTTTGTACACAAGGCACTGTCAGCAATATATGGAACCCCGTTTATGCCATGAGAAGAACTATATCTGATATTGGCGTATATAACTCTATGCATATCATTAACTGATAGAGCCACAAACTAATATTTTCTTATTTCTTCACATTAATTTTGGTATGCACATTATGGAAGTAGGAACAATAGTTGACAAAATCAACTGAAGTAATTTGGGTGCCCGGTGTGATGCCGTCAGGGTTGTTATGGCGCCAACTTTCTCTGGAACTCTCTTGCAATCGAAAGTTTTAATATGTTGAATGAATTGGGCCTATCTGGACAAAGGACAAAGAGATGGTTTCTGACTTAAAGAACTCCAATCGTAGGAGTGAATGACCCCTCCTCCTTCTCTGTAACTAACTTTGATCCTCTTGAAGCTGTCTATTGCCACATATGCGGAGTAGTCAATCTTCTTTCGGAAATAGAAAACCAGATTGAAAGTAGTGGATAATTCTTTCAATTGGAGTAGACATAGAAAAAAATGTGAAAATCTTCAAGCACATGTCAAGGAACAATGGAAGTACTCTGTGATCAAGGTGGTAAAATACACAAGTAATTCCCTGCAAATTGATCCCAACAGCAAATCACGTTTTCAATTTCAATGACACATTTCTATCATGTGATTGAAATAGATTTTTTCCAAAGACAAGGTCGATTACTTAATTATCCACGAGTAAAGGGCAGCCCGTTATCCATTACGATCGGATCTCTCTAGAAAATGTGCAGGTTTCTGGATACAGAGCTTGCTGCTGCAACCATCATGCCAGGGAACACGATCAGCTTGCGGCCCTGGCGGTCCAGCCACGGAGAGGATGCACGCAAGAAACTTGTAAATTGAACTTATGAAGCATGCCATCATTCGAGTTCTGGCAGGAATGACGATATAGATCAGAAACTTCTGGTGATTACCGTTCTTCTGCCCGCCTTTAGTTCTCTTTACGACCATTCCTATCGGAGGTCTTGTCTCGTGGAACTAGCATCCTCCACATAATCTCACTTCTTCCTCTAGTTTATGCTTGCGGTTTTATCCGCCAGTGTTGCATTTAGAAACTTTCGTGCCGTTTGAAATGAAATATTGTTTCAGATCGACTGCTGTCTTGATGGTAAAAGTTTGCTATGAAATATGATCGCGTTGAGTTACTAAGCTGAAGAACTCATTAATCCCATTCTGCCGTGGTAATGCATCTTTCTCAAATGATTGTTTTTACGCAGTTTAGAGAGGCGGTGCCAATTAAAGAGGTTTTATAGGATTTGAGACCTGTCATTTGTTGCAAATTCGGAATTGAAGAAGTAGGTTTCTTGAATAATGAACTTAATCTTAAGATTAGTTTATGCTATGTTGTTATGACACCAAACGCAGATATTCTACACGTTTGTATTTCATCATATTTTGAGTAACAACAATGACCGATATATGGCAAGCCGTGGCGTTATAACGAGGGTAGTCTTATTCCTGTTCTATGAAGTAGTGGATGGAACTACGCACAGTGCTTTGACATCGAAAAGCAAAATGTCAACTTATAAAAATCGAAGTTCTATCGATCTGTCCTTAGTTTCACACAAGTGAAATGCCAATATTAGACCTAAGTATTCGACTTAAACGATGTTTTGAGTTATTTGAGCTCGGGTTAACTTCATGTTATTGCAGTACAGTTTCCCAGCAGAGCAACGAACGTTAAAGCGGTAAGGCGTTTAGGGCATTAAAGTGCTGACTACAAATGATTTGAAATTCATTCTCTAAAATTCACATCAAGCTAAAAAGTTATTCCACAAACAAAGTTTCCCAAGAAGGCTCTAAACATTCCAAACTGCTAACTTAGTTTGTATTCGCGAGAAATTCAATCGTCTCTTGGAGAATTTATTTTGCTCGGTGCAGTAAGGTAATCCCCGTCCTGTGCTATTTCGTTTCATCGAGATCTCCTCGACAGTTGGGGAGATGTGCGAATTTGTCTGGTCAAGAATTCAACGCTCAATGATTGAATTTCAGTTAGAAGTTTATCTATGTATATAAAATTGCAATTTGATCAGTTCCCGCAACGCAAGTACATACAAGTAAAGTGGAATAAAGATGAAAAGTGCAGTTTAATAGATACAGTCCCTGTTGTTAATTCATTCGCACACCGTGGCGACAAACGCGTTCTTGTCGGCGGAACGGAGTTATCCGGCGGAATAGGATAGTAAACGTTTCCCCGTTCAAACACTGATCTTGTCAATGCGTTGAAACTGCATTCGATTAAACCCTACATCTAACAGTTCTGCAAACAGAATTAATATTTTGACCACACTTTTCAATTTGGTTTGTCAATAAAGAGTCAATTTGCAAAGGAAATCGACACACATAATATGGGTTTGGTGAAGTATCGGACACACACAGCGAATGCGCACAGGTTATGTCACTGCGATCATTGTTAATCTATAGTTGAGATAATACGAAGGAAACGAAAGATGACATTTTTGCAACTATATTGGCTATTTATGCTTCCGCTGTCTGGAGCAAATAGGCATTCATATGGAGTAGATTTAGCGACGGACAATCAGCAGAATGATTCATAAGTAGAGGTAACGCTACATGTAATATTCGCCTGAGTGTGAAATTATTTATCGATAACTGACGATATATGTGACTGATGTATAACGGTAATATCATAGAGACATTAGTTCCTAATAATGTCTGGCCTGGTTGGAAAGTCGCTAATAATATATATATTACACCCAATCCATACAAGACAATATACAATTAACTGGTGTGCGTTAAATCGAATTATGTTTTGCTTGTGCTGTTTTAGCTTAAGTTTGCTTAATATTGTAAATACAAGCGACAAAAAAATAAATAAAAAAAAATAATTTAAAAGCAGAGTCGATGGTACGATTACGACTATATCATAAGCATGTGTTTATGAATAACTATCACATAGTGATGATACCAGGTGTTCGCGAAAAGGCGAGCTTATCCTGCCCCACCTGACCAACACCTGTCCCAAACACATGCAAGGGAAAGTCAGTTGTTCACTTGGAGAAACACAACAACATATGGTACAAGTCAAACTAAGGAATTACATCAGACATCTTTGTCACTGATGCGTCAAAATTGGAAATATCTTCCACATGTCTACGGTAAAACGTTATAGGTAGCCTAGTGGTTAGAATGGTCAACGTCGAAAATCCGGGTTCGATTCCTACATGGGTTCATTGTGTGAAGTCCATTTCTGGTATCCTCCACTTTGATACTGCTGCAATATTGCAATAAAAGCTAAAAGCTGCGTCAAACTATACTCACTCACTCACTCAATCACTCAGTCACTGACTCACTCACTGTAAATGATAAAATATCAAGGATGTATTCTTTGACAAAATATTTATTTTTCATATGTGGATTCTGAATGGTTTGTCGTGTTTTCAAGGGACAAGTCTTTGTACAGCGACTATGCTTTTCGTAAGAGGCGGCAAAAGGGATCGGGTGGTCAGGCTCGCTGACTTGGTTGGTGCATGTCATCGATCCCAATTGCGTGGATCGATGCTCATGATGTCAATCACTGGATTGTGTGGTCCAGACTCGATTATTTACAGATCGACGTCATATAGCTGGAATATGGATGAGTGCGGTGTTAAACAACTAACAAACAAACAAACCAAAGAGGCACAGATTACCATGCTGTTTAGGGCGCTTGGAGGTTTTTCACATTGGTCCGA